CCATAATTTTATAATATCTATTTTAATATTCAATTAAAAACAAATCACCAAAAAATATTTATAAATTAGTAATAAACAATTTTTATTTATATTGATATAATTATATGTTTAAAAATCAAGTATACATTATTTAAAAATAAATAATAAAAATTATAAATAAACAAAAATTTTATTTTTTTTTTATATATGTACTTGAAATTAATTTTAAATTTTTTAAAAAAGACTTATTATAGATAGAATTTATTATATCAAATAAGTTTCCTTAATTTATTAAGGTCAATGTACATAATAAAATCAAAAACTTTTACAAGAAATTACGATTGTAAATTTATGAAAAAAAATTTGAAATACGATTTTTTATCAGTAGCAATTTTATTTATTAAATGATTTTCTAAATATTCAATATAAATTTATAAAATTTAATACACAAGTAAATTAAAACATATTAAACAAGGTTTATAATTAGATATTATTTATTAAACTATTAGTTTTAGAAATAATTTGAATATTTAAATTAGAAACAAAATCAAAAAATCGCCGCTCAAAATTTAACCATAAATATATTTATTTGTCTAGATTATACTTACTTAATACAGAAAAGCATATATGCTTAATAAAATAAAAAAATCCAATATGTGAAAACTTTTACGTTGAAAAAATTTTCGATTTTTTCGAAAAACCTCATGTATCGGATTTTCTTTTATCGAATAAACCGGGACCCGGAAAATTTTTGACGATCGTAATTACTTTATTTAATGCTTCGATCATTAACATATATAGACTATTTGTACACAGTTTCTACTATCGTGAGTTGACCGTACTGTACAGTATTATGTAATGCCATCAAAAACAATCATTAGAAGAAAGCGGAAAATTGAGATTTGGTTTTGATTCTTTATTTTTAGCCTAAAATTCTTACCCCGGATTACTATATTTCCCATCCATATAACATCTTAACGTTCTTGGTAATGTTCTGAGACGAGGTCTACTATCAGAAGTTTGAATAATGCGATGGCTGCGTGGACATATGGCTGCGTGCGACCCCTGCATTATAAAAGTTTGGTAATGGCTGAGTGAACCCGCACCATATCATTGATTCATGATGGACATAAGAAGAATGGTAGCCGCGTATACGCTGCACTCAAAAATTGCGAATAAATCGCTGACATTGTGTTACGAAATGTTAGCGCCTCCGTGGGAAAGTTCTAGTACAATGGACAGAGAAACCTGTGATTGACTAGAATAGCGAAATTTCTAGCAGAAAAATTAAGGGGCAGTCAAGAGGGGGAAAGTTAGTGAGTATCAAACCAGCTAAAGTCTTAAACAACTTACCTGTTTAAGTACATAATGTGGAAAATATTTCGGGTTAACGACAGAATTGCCTGTTATGAAAACACCAGATATCTTATATCTTGAGCGAGAATAAGTTTGTTTACTGATCGATCATAAACCTGTGTTATGTAATCCCTCGTGATAATAAAGCTGTAATACTGTAACCGACATGCACCATCACATTAGGTACTATTAAATACAGATTAAGCATAATGTGGTGTAGCAAGATAATCAATCACGGGCTAGAACTTGTGCAACCTAGAATAAAACCATACGCAAGGGCGCGCCAAATACCTATTATTTTTTATTTTCCCTACTCTTCAGCATACCGTGTCGGAAAAAGCGATTTTACCTGTAACAATAGAATGCGTTTAATGATAGTAATTTCTAGAATATAGAATTTTAGAATTAATAATTTCTACATTTTCTAATTCGATTATTCTTATAATGCAAATTGCAAAAATACATAAATACCTATTTTTTTTAGAAAGCAATGGAATAGCTAGCGTACCTTAATGTATCTTCCATCATGTATGTGATCAACAATCATCAAATTCAAAGACTGAACAAACATATTTATATATTGACCTAGCGTTAAATAACCGCTTGTAATAAAAAAAACATGCAGTATTTAAAACAGCCGAATCGACAAAGAAAGCCACGGGAATATGTGTCTGAACGGAGAGATTGCTTGCTCACTTTATCACATAGCCTTTCTCAAAATTCCTAATGCGTCGTGCCGCACCTAAAAACTATACAGTACATTATGGGTAATCAATCACAACAGTTCCTAACCTCAAAAACTTGTAATCGAGAGTTGGCATCGGAAGTAGGAACATCGTAACGTGGAATAGAGTAACCTTAGAATACGAGAAGAGAATAAGATTTGATGAGTCGAAAAACGCAGTTTTCGGGCAAAATAACACGGCAGCAGAAGAAGCACAAAAAAAACGTCACCTTCCAAAACGCCTACCTTTTATTTGACTCTGCATATAATTTACCCTAAAGATTATATTCCAATTTTCTATTGATGTAACAAGGATGACGAATCCTCGCGGTAATAACTTCAAAGAATATATAGTATAAGCAAATAAACATATTTATTTTTATTAAAAAAGTCGGGCGTTACTGGATGACTGTCGTTCTTCAACTGAGACATTCTAACTACCCCTTGAAAGGTTTTTTTAGAATAACCAATTACAGAGAACATTGACCATAACGGTTAATATGGCGTATGTGTTATTACATATTTGCTTCAACCTTAATATTAAGTATAATTGCAATGTGTACATGTACAATAAATAGCGTAAAAGAAAAAACTTTAACGTATGTTTGAAACCAAACTTATTTAATTATTAGTAGACAGTAGAGGAGCATCAATATAATAAAAAATATTGGATTTACTTGCTCATATCCTAAAGGCTTTGTCTCTAATATAACATAAACAAAATCACGATGTCGAAACTTTTGAATAACGTAACACTAATCCTATCTGTTCTTATCAAAATGTATTTTCTTTCATTCTTTCCCATTTTATGAGTGTGTATTTTCAGCTATATCGTAACGGATGCCTTTAAGCAATCACTGATTATTTTACGCTAATAATCTCGGTCAACATTAACTTTTAACTTAAATAATTCTGGTACTTTTCCTCGTAAAAGGCACGCTTTAGTAAATACCATATGATCCAAAAATGGAAACCACAATAAATTTTTAAAAAAAAAAATTTTTTTTTCACTTTGCAAGCAACATACAGAAAGGGTGTACAACAAATCCTTTGTGCTACATTCCCGCTTATGTTACACAAAACCGATGCTTACCATAAATAAATAATATAAATACAGTAATTGTTAAAGAAAGAACAAAAAATATTATTGTACCATGTAAAATTGGAAAAGTTTCTATGCAGAATTCAGAGCCCACAAAAAACGTTGCCTAGATAATTAAAAACGATCGTATTTTCCTTTCTAATTTAATCCTGTCATAGCTTTCTACAGGCTAATGTAATGTACAGTATTGACTTTGACTCGTTAAGGTGATTTTGCGCTTGCTTAAAGTTTTGTAGCACAAACCACCAGACTCACTGATTTCTTTGCTTCCTAATTCAAACTAATTTTTTTTTATTTGGATATAAATTCCAAGTTTTACAGTATAAACCAATTAAGTTGGTGCCAATGAATTTCTTTTCGGGTTTTATGAATGCATATATGATATATGCCATATGCGAACGCGATACGTTCCAATTATTCTGAGAAAGCAGATCGAACATACAGTATCCGAATATTATTTATAGTAGATGTCGCAAAAAGATATTATCAATTACATTAGTTTAGAACGCACAATCTCTGTGCTAAATCTTTTTTTTCTGACACATAAGGTTTCCGATGCAAGTATACTATTTATTATTATTAATCATATAAACATTGCCTGCTGTAAAAAATGCACAGACAGTCACTATACTGTTTTATTTGTACCTTCTGACTCGGAAACCGATAATACTGAATTAACACTGAGCATTTTCATTTTTCCTATAAGCTTTCAATATCACGAGTAAATGTTCATGCAAAATTTCCAAAAAAATACAATGCGTTTCACCATATTTATTAGTTTCTTGTCTATTTTTCTTCCTTTCTGAACAATGCAAAAAAATGCAACGAGTAATCAAATTACACGTTTAAATAATAAATATAAAAATTATACTCGAGCTAATGAGAAAAGGATCCAGAATAAATATTTTGAGAAGTGTGAACGTACTGTATTGGCCTGGAAAAATTATCTAAATAGGGAACTTGATATAAAAATTTTTGTGGGACTGAAATTATTATAATTAAATTCCTTGGAGTTTATAATAAAATATATTGTATGACTGTCAATCAGAATTTTGTGGACTGACTGTATGGATGAAGAGAATGTGAACTCCGCCCATGTTGCAGAAAGATCTTAAACAATAATTTAACGAAAATATAAAATTTGCTTTATGCGAAGCAAATTATATAAACTGTACAGCTGCAAATCTTTGTATTATTTCGTTTTACTTTGCTAGGAATAATTGGATATTTACTTGAAGGACTGATGGCCATCGAATGCTACTCTCCAACTGCAGCCTATATAGTTCTATTAAGAGAATAACGACTAGAGTAAATACCACCAAGACTATTGTTTCATAGTAATATTAATCAAAATCCGGACATCATATTTGCAGGGGCGTTAACTTTTATTGAATGGAATTGTTCGGTTTAACTTTTGTCTTTATATTATTCACATCAAAAAACGCAGAATAAGGTAGCATCATATGTCTTTATTAATAAGCAACTTTGTTAATAACATTTGCACATTCTAAAGTTACATATTTTAACTTTTTAAAATATTAATGTCGAAATCTAATTTTATTTCTTATGATATTGGTTAATTATCAGCAGCATTCGCCTCGAGGAAACTGGGTTTCTTTCTTCCTTACATTGTACGTATGAAGCCTCATATTAAAAATACTGTATAATCATAATCACAATCAATGATCCTAGCTTTCTTAATATTCTATGAGTTGTATAAATAATGTAAGGGACAACAAATATTGGTGAATAAAAATATTTCCAAAAATAAGATGCCAGGTGAAAAAGTCAAGGTAACTTATATATGCATACAAATAACTTTCCAAATAAATGAGAAATTTACTCGTTTTTCCACCAACCAATGTCTCCTTTAAAAAGCACGTCAATAAAGTTCGGTGTATCCAATGTATGGGTAGAATTGAGTAAGAATACGTTGTTTCCTTGGATTAAACCAGATTGAAAAATTGAAAGAGAGGCTGTTGTTTGCGCAGGAGCTTGTTGATAAGTCAAAATAGCTGCTGTATCGATAGCTTGTTGAGTAGAAGTCGTCGCTAATGATGCAAAAACTTGACTGGAAGTGGAAGGAGGAACCCCTGTCGGTGCAAGAACACGTTGGGAGGTTGATGAAAGAGTCAAAGTTGATACAAAATCTTGTCGAGTGGTTGAAGACGTTGCTGTTGGCACAGCCAAAGCAGATAATTGCTGAGGGGTCAAAGAATGAATCGCTGTCGGAGCAAAAACTTGCTGGGAATTTGAAGGAAGGGTTGTGACTTGCCGGGAAGTTAAGGTTAAAATAGCAGCTGGAGCTGCAAGATCTTGTGGCGAAGTTAAACAATTCGATACTGAGGTAAGAATTTGTTCAGGAATTAAAGAAGTGATTAATTCTGGAGAGAAGGATTCTAAATTGTCCCGTGGAGGTGGACTTGGGAGCTGTTTATAATTAGACATTTGAGAAACAAAAATTTGCAAAAAAATTTTTAGATATGAGTAAGCAATCTAACTAATGGTAACCTGTTGTAAGTTTATCGCAAATGAGTCCAATTTATAGCATTTTTTTCGTACTTGTTAGAATAGTAGAATGATGGTTCTTGCGTAAAATTTTTATTATAATATTATTTATACAATAAATGAATAGAAGTAAACTCTGTTCACATTTAACCATTCATGATTTACACAAAGAATAACATTAGTAAATGATATAAGCTATATCAGAGTACTTTATAAACAATCACATCGTTTTTCTCGCTAAAATGTATACTTTATTGGATAATATTCTGCAAATTGTGAGCGGTCCGACTCTTTGAACAACCAAATGAAGGTTTATCTCAAGACACAAATTAAAATAATTTTTTGTATTATTCCCGAATTTCAAAGTTATTATTTTTTCTTTCTTTTTTTGTTCTCCAATAAAAAAATAAGTTTCTGATTACGTGTATAAAACGAATTCACAATCCGGGTGTCACAATATATCTTCAGTAAAATCAACTCAAATTGTAGAAGTCTTATCAAGACATCAATGCTATTATTGTCAGACAAATAGTACTCACGTACAAACATTACCATATTATTTATCTACAATGATTGTAAACTGGCAATGGCTAATACACTTCTTAATAATCCGACTTTGCGGTGCACGGAGTTTCCGGTATAAACTGTTTACTGAACACGTATATTTACATATTATAGGGCTTAATTCGTATCGCCTGTGATTTAACGAACGCCTGATACTATTAAATATTATAACCTTATTTATTATGTTACCTCTTTTATTGTACATACTGCAGTGTAGTAAATCTCGATAACCTTAGCGACAGGATACACCACCAAGGGTCTGATCATTTACGCATAACCTGACCATCTTTTTACCATATGACAGTAATACAGGTTAAAAACAGAAGTTTGTGTGTCATTATGAAATTGAATGGATTTATTTTAGGCTCCTCAAAAAATCATCAAATTTTATAGCTTCGTTTTATATTTAGAATATTTGCTGTGTATTTCACATTATATTATTTATATACAACATTAATTTTTTTATTATTTTGTTTCATAAATAGTTTTTTCTTCTATTTATTACTTATTTTTATAAATTTTCTTGTAAATTAATTAGAGTATATGCATAGAATTTTTTGATAAAATATTGTATGTATTATTGCTTATTTAAATAATAACAATAATAAACTTAAATATATATAGTATATAATAATATTTGAATAAATAAAATTCACTGACTTGTGAATTTATAATACAGTGGTCAGTGCACTCAGATTTAGATTACAAGATACCAGTTCAACTTCATGTAAAGGTAGTTGAATGGAATTAATATGGTATCTGGCACTGTAACCTGTTAAGTATTGTTTTTCATAAGAAATCAATTTATATGTTAATCCAATAGACATTAATATTGTAATCTCTAGAAAGATATAGTGATATAACAATAATTCAATTAATATTATAATAATTATTAAATAAAAGACTTCTCACATTTGAATATACAGTTTAGATTGTATTTCAACTTAATCGATACTAATTGATAGTTTTCTTTTCTGCAATCATCTCTAATCTAATTAAGTAAAGAAAATTCAAAGATATCTCAAATTATTTTAATATATTTTATTTTTATATAAGCTAAATCAGTAATTTAAAGAATTTAAAACTAGTAATAAGATTTTTACTCTCTAGATAGACTTTTTTGGAAAAATATGATTCACTTTAAAAATATACATTACATTATAGAATATAAATAATAGATAGATTAGTATTTAACTATAGTTATTATATTGCAAAAGATCTTTGATATATTAAAATATAATATCCCAAATATATCAATAAAAATTTGCATTTACTATTTTATTCAAAAAATTATTATTTAACTATTGTAAAAGAAAATAATATAAAAATATATCATAATTTTAACTATAACTATATTATAAAACCTATATTATATTTAGATATTAGATGTTTTGAAATATATTTAATTTATTCTAATAATTTTATTTTCAAACAATTATTAAATGTATATATAATGTGGCTTAATATTAAATAATTTATCCTTATAATTAAAAAACCTTTTCTTTTTAATTAACTTTCTACTAATTTAGATTTAAATTTTATTGAAAATATTTGATCTATTGTTTAAATAAAAATATTTTTTTTATTAGATAAAAACACTATATACAATGTGTAATTTATTTAATTTATTTATATCTAAATACATATATATTCAAACTTTTATTACTTTAAGTACTAAATTAATCTCACAACTTTATTTATAAACTTACTTATTATATTGATTTATTCATAGTGAATATAAATTTACATCTAGAAAAAAAATTTATTATTGTTTAAATCATCTAATCTAATTTAAATTTTGTCTCACTTGTATCTATTATAAAATAATACAATTATTATCTTTTAAAATAGTTGAAACACTTAGATATTTTAATACTTTTTGTCTAAAATCTCATAAAAAGTGTTATTCTTTGTTATTATTCATAACTTCAAATGATTTCATGTATATATTTAAGAAATTCGTTTCTTTTAAACAAGCAACATATAAAAATATCTTTATATTAGAGTATTTTTTATATAACAAAATCAGTTATTACCAGTTTGGATTTGAGTTTATAGTCTTATTATTAGAGTTAAACTAGAAGCCATTTCTAAACAACTTTTCCTGCTTTGATTTGTTTTTAACCTGCAATTACCAAAAATATTAAAAATTTCATTTTTATACAATTTAATTGAATTTGATTATAATTAAAAATTATTAAATATAAGTTAGTCAAATTCAAAAAAAAGATTGTAGAAAAAGAAAATTTGACTGACAGTATCAATTGCATAAAGTCTTGCTTTGCTGAAAGCCCAGACTGCTAACTAATATATTAAAAATATATAGTTATAAGCAACTCTATTTTGAATACCTAACAATATTATTATTTCATCAATCATTTAAGAAAAATAATTATAAAACTGTCTTCTTATCTTATTTAGCTTTCGAATTTACAAAATAAAAAAATCAATGAACAGCTTACCTCATCAAAAATTGATATAAGTTAATTATACCATATTAATATCTGATCACTAATATGAATAAAATTGCTGACTTTCAATTGCATTCTTTTTGGCAATATACTGTAATTATATAAGTTCAGACCATAATTTAAAACCTAAACATTATATTTCTTCTTAATTATTAATTCTTATAAAGCACATATATATAATTTATAATTTAACTAATAGCTAGCAATTGTTTATTCTTTTTTGTTCTCTATTCGGATTTTCAGAGATTTGCATATGTCAATTTTTATTTTGAATATGCTTGGATTAATTTATTTTATAATATTTGTTAACAAAGTTTAATAAAAATCTTGTATTTAATACTTATTAAAAAAAGAAATTATTGAATATAATATATGCAAGATCTCTAGTAAATTTATATATAAAAAATAATATACTTTTTGTCTTCTATAAATAGAGTAAGTATTAAAACAGAAATATATATTTAAAAATCTGGAAACACTATTTATTATGCTATTGATCTATAGATAGGGTTCCAAAAAAGTACTGAACTGGTATCAAACTGGTATTAAAATAGTACCGATCTATAGTAAATTTAATATATGGATTGTGACCTACTCATATGTTTTTATAATAAATTTAAGTATTGAACTGGTATTAAAGTCAAAGTGATATCATTAGGAGCTCTAAACTCATCTTATTTTTTTTTATTTTGTTTTTAATTAACGTTTCATTTATCAAAATATTTTCATTATTCAAATCAAAAACTGTTTGATATATTGCAATAGCAAATACCACTTATTTCTCAGATGCATCTTTCTTTGGCCAGACTTTTTCGAAAATACAGGCTATTATGCTTTGTCTCTATTTTTGGACATTTGTGAAGGTTTTCAAAACATTCAATAGTTTTCCGAGATTGTTTTCAAATCAAAATTTTGATAGTAATTGCATTTGTATTTATTGTATCCAAAAACTTTTTACCAAAAATCAAAAACATGACATCATAAATTTTTGAAACTATAATCCCACAAAGCAATTGATGCTGTTTCACAAGCTTTTAAAGCAATAAGATATTTAATAACTGAAGAACTAAAGTTATTAATATTTATAAGAATTACCACTTGATAAATATGTTTTTCATAATATGTTTTCTAGCATTTTCTTGTAAGGCCTTTGTAAAACTCTAAATGTTCTTACTAAAAAAATTTCTTGATTGTTTGACAAAAATTTTTATAGTTTGGATATATTTTTTCAAAAATACTTGTTTTGCAATACTCTTAACCATGCACTATTTAAATAAAATATAAGTTTTCAAAAACCTTTGAAAAAATTCAAAATAAACCTTATCTTGATAAAATCATGTTTGATAATTAAATATTGACTTGCATGAATTTTATTTTCTAGGTGGGTAACCTTATTTTTTATAATTTTTTGCTATTTTAACAATTGGTCAATTTTTTTATAAAGGCCTTCGTAGGACTCCATAATTCTTTCAATAGCTTTATTAGGGACTAAATATATAAGTTTAGTATTTATTTTAAATTATTACAAATTTTTAAATATACCTGAAGTTTCTTTAGATGTTCTCTATGCTGGTATATCAAAAGAAGATTCGAAAAAATGTTCAGGAAATTTTAATCACTTCTGAGGTACTTTTGTTTTCATTTCAATAGGAGTCAAGGGTCTTTGTTCAGTAGCTGGCCCTTAAGTTCCCTGAATACTCTTTGACTTTTTAAAGGACTTTGAAATACTTTCTTGATTTTTTTCTTTTCTCTTTTTAACAGAATCAGAAATAAGTTTTTGAAACATTTTATGTGTTTTTTGTTTGACATTAAAGAAAAAGTAAGAACTTTAGAGATCTTATATAATACAAATTCCAAGAAATTATATTATATTATAATTGCAAACTTTTCTTCATTACTTTTTGA